CCCGCGGTAAAAAGTATTGACCCGGATAACCAGCTATCACCATACCAAATTTCATCAAAATCCCTCCAGTGGTTTTTCTGTGATGCGGTAACAGGCTGACAGACAGACGAAAATTCTAAAAACTATAGATTCGGCCTCTATCGATAATAATGTTTGTTTCAATAAGATTTTCCAAAAAATATTTAATGTACAGATTCGGCTCAGTTAGAATTTTATTATACGTGTATGTATAGATAATAACGTTACAACATATGCCTACTTTAGTTTTATAACAAAATATTCGCACTTTGGTACATGCTTTATTGCTTCCTATTTATCTTTTATGTGTGTCACAAAGTCGACACGTTGGCCATTCTCTCCTCTACACAAAGTAATTTACTGATCTTGGCCAGCATACGACGTCTTTGCCTTTGAGCGCAATATATAATGGCTCATCATTAAGAGCCGGCTTAAGTTTCGCTTTAGGCATATTTGAAGTCTATCATTATCTACTGTTCATTTTAAATTAAAGTTTTACTTTTAGAGTGATCTTTGTCTAAGTATGTGTACGTGTCTATAATAGTATGTAGTTATTTGTACGCGAATATTATTTAAATACAAAAATAATAATGATCTGGCACAGTGTCAGCCAGATCATGTATATATAGCTTAAATTAAATTGAATAAAGCTGTGGTATTCGATCTGTTAATCTATACATGTAATAAAAGTGTAACTGATCGCTGTCTGTACTTGGAAGATTTTTGAGAAAAAGAAATGTTATTGCAGGTTTTTTTATTAATGCAATGGAACCCAAATCAATGATTTTAGATTTTTTATCTTTGTGCGCACTGATCTCAGAAACGGCTTAACCGATTTGGGTGCGGTTTTCACTAATGTATTGTGGTAAGCTTCAGTTAAGATTGAATATTTGTTTTACTTCAATCGGTACATAAATATATAATCTATATAATAAATTGTAAATCTGTTAATAAATGAGCATATTTTTTACCATTTCGTAGTAAACCGGAAAACTATAAAGTAAAAGAGTTAAATCTTACACGTAAGTTTATAAATAAAATCTAACCCTGAAAGAGCTACAATAGAATGAAAAATCACGTGCGATTTACCATACAATACCCAATCTACATTATAAAAATCATATTGTGACGATGCTATTCTTGTAGAATGTAGATAGGTACTTTACGGATGCAATACGAATCTATCGATATCATCATATCGCATTGGTGGTATAATTTTGGTACCTATTATTACAAGGGGGCCATTCAAGTAAGTATTACGTAAGCACCAAAGGGGGGTGGGGGATCTTTGCTTTGCTTACTTTTGATGACATAGGGGACGGGGAGGGGGGGGGGGTCTGGATGGTGATTACGTCAGCAATATTTATTTACTAAAATAATTCAAAATTTGTAGATTTTGATTCGTCAAATCATTGCGTACAGAATACACATGACAATTCTACTTGTCTATGCTCAAAAGTGAAAAGCATGTTCAGGGATTCCCCGAAATAATTAAGTGGTAATGTATAGGAGGCATATGAGTGGATAATTAGGACGTTTGCTGACAAGTAGAATACTTGAATGGCCCTAAGACTATATTTTGATGTATATTAGAAATTTAACAATTATTATACCTTTCAATTATGAAAGTAGAAACTAACAAAAAAGATTTATCACAAAATAAAATGGAATGGATGGAAATACCATCTATAATTCATACTTAATTAAGTTTTTCTTTCATGCACCCGAATGTAACCGAAAAAAAGATCTGCCTAAAAAGATGGTTTGCTCTTCACTTCTCTTCTTCAAATTAAGTGTATTCTGTTGGATTTTGATCTTTTAATCGATTTTTCTTCCATAAGTATAATGATCTATTTGCATTACTGTACGGTCACTTATAAATTAAAGTAAATTTGAAAATGAATCAGTTTGAAAGGTTAGTCACCCCAACATTTAGCGATCTACATCCAGTTTCTTTGTTCATGTAGTAAACACAATGAGTGTTAAATGAGACGCGGTGCTAGCTTAGCGTTTGTGCTCGTATCCAGGCGAGTCGCCCTACTAACCCAGTGACACGGGTGGGCGAAAAACTTTGAACATCTGAACAAATAAATGGATGTAAATATCGAAACAGCTTTAATAAATCAGTTGGCGGTAAAAGTGTTTATCTTAACACTAGCGAATCACCCTCGTTTCGTTCGGGTTCGTCCCTAGGTATGTTTTAACAGTTAGTATAGATTTCTCAGAGATGAGATATTTCACCGTTGTAAAAAGTATCCTATATGTTGTCCCGGATAACCAGCTAGCATCATACCAAATTTCATTAAAATCTGTCAGACACAAAAATTCTAAAAACTATAGATTCGATCTCCGTATGGATAACACCTAATGACTATTTCAATAAGATTTTCCATTAAATATTTAATGTCCTACAGATTCGACTCAGAATTGTATTTTATGTATAGATTATTTTATAATTTTTCATAAAATTCTTTATAGGTTTCTTTTGGTATTTTTTGTATGACTATATGAATGTTAAAGATAATAAATTTTAGTGTTGAATAAGGAAAACCATTTCTGAAACAAGTTTCGATAAGACTAAGTCGATCTCATGATTGTTTAAATTTTGATTTCCTATTGAGGTCTTGTATTCTAATAATTTTGTGTGAATGAAAGTGAAAGAGTGATTTCTGATATAAGATTTCCATCTTTTCTAATTAAGTAAACAGTAGTGAATATAGTAATATTATCAAACATCTATTCAATAACATTTAATTTAAATTCATTTAAAATACTAGCATAAGTATATCCACTTATTAATAACATTAATTTTCTGTCATGTACCTACACACTTGACGTGCGGTATCATAACGATATCATCAAATGAATATTATACTTAAAATGCGATTATAATTTATCATAATAAAAATACAACCCTCTTATGGTGTGGGCTAAGTGTCTTACAGCAGAGAAACAAAGAGTTTGCTTTTTATATATCAGCTCTGAATAATGGCGGCATTACTCTAAACTCTCTAGCAGAAGAGGACTTGTATGTAGATAAACAGAATTTTTCATAAAAAATACGTACAAATTGTTTTAATGATGCTCAAGCAGCATCAACACACATAAGCTGATATACTTTCAGCAACTATTCTTCATGGTAAATTGTCTATGTAAACTACAAAAGGTACTTATTGCTTAGCAGTAAATAGAAAGGTCAACAAGAATATATGGGCTGTTTATTTGGTGGAGCTTGTGGAACGTGCCGGGAGAGCTATCATATTACTTCTCGGCTGCTTTCTAACCTTACCTGTACAATATATTCTCCAACATGAAAGATATCCACGTTAATAAAGCTTAAACGCGTGTTTGTTTTATTAAGTATTTATTGTAAGTAAACTATTTGGACATAAAGGAAATTTTATTTTCATTTTTGCAGAACGAAATTTTCCCCCATAATTCAATTGGTGCCTCCCCTGCAAGCTTTAATGGTTCGATTGTGAAGTTATAGTTCGTTTATTTAATATCTCGGAACTGATTTAGAGCTTTCTTAAAACGCACATATACTAGGTAGCTCTTTTTGAAAATGTATAGCATTGTCACGCTTCACTATATTATTTTTATAATCACAAAATTATATGTTGCCATATAACATAAACTATACATACTACGTGCATTCCTATTTTTAATAGTGTTTGAACTGTCAACATGTGCATCACAGATGTGCATTATTGTCCCGTAACGACCTATGGGACTCTTCTTAGACTAAAATAACTATACATTATAAGTATTATTTATGACAACTAATTTTGTTTACTAATATTTATTGCTTAAACAACAATATAGCATCGTGAGGCAATAAAACAATAATATAATTGAGAGATAAGTAGGTACAATGTAATTATAATTTATCATAATAAAAATACAACCCTCTTATGGTGTGAGCTAAGTGTCTTACAGCAGAGAAACAAAGAGTTTGCTTTTTATTATCCTTAAATAAAAAATTTCACGTACTCTAAAATAAAATGTAAAAATTATAAAAATATAGAAGAAATAACACTTATATTTTACAATCTTACCTTTTAACTTTGAAATTCCCACTAAGAAGGTGCAAGTAGTAAGTCTTAAATTCAGTAGCCGTGAATTCGTGTTCGAAGTTACGTCCATTGTACTTAACTTGAAGCTCCCAGAAAGTTTATAATTAATGTCAGGAAAAATTTGTCTTCAGAAAATCGAATCGTTTGCCCTGTCGTTTAATCAAAGCCTTGAGTTAATGACAACCGACTCGTATTTCTCGGTCTGAGTATTTCTTTGAAAGTTTTCACCGCAGTGTCAAATGTCGTGACATTTAAACTGTGTCAAAATGTACGTTTGTTATATTATTAATTTCTTAAAGCACAATATAAGGTAGAAAATATATTTGAATTACTAGGTTATATTGTGGCTTCGCACGCATGAGTTTTTCCAATTAGTTCGAAACTAGTTAATATACAATTACTGCGAAAAAACATCAAACTTTATCAAAAGTATATTATCCATCATACTAATATCGTACTTTATGATGTTATTTGTTTACGCGGTAACGTAAACTCGGTATCAAATAAAGACAAAGCACCAGTGTATCTCTCTACTTCGTACTAAGTTTATTTTTAAAATTTACAGAAAAGAAAAGCAAGGTGGAATGACTCAAATATTCATGATCCCAGTACATTGAAGTGTTCAAGCTTTGTTTTATGATCTACTTAATCGAATAAAATGAAACTAAGTAATTTTGAAACCAGACTAATAACATTGTTTCTAAGTTTATTGGCTTGGTATTTTATATTGTAGGTAAAAACACGTTGCCTGAATTCGAGATTGATGATATTTTTGTCAGGCTAATTGCTTGTTGTTCCGCGTTATTCGTGTTTGTAAACTCGCATTTATACGTCAAAATTTTTTACAACCATATTATAGGTCTTAATCATTGATAGATTGTTAACCAAGTAATTTCTTTTGTGCAGCATCTCGGCGGCTCAGCGAATACGTAGAGCATTATGAGCCCCTGGAGTATGATGCAGACTTGGTGCACGAGCAACATAAACGCACACGCCGGTCGACGGACGCTCCCGACCTACGACTCAACTTTCATGCACATGGCATACACTTCAATATTCGTTTACGACGCGATCTGTCAGCCTTCAGTGAAGATTTCAAAGTAAGTTAAATATTTTTGAGCTGTATATATAGTCATTTGTATTTACTCCGGCTATAACAACTAAACAATATAAATAAAATTAAAAATGTTAAGTAAACCCCGACACAAAAAAACCTGTAAAAAGTACAAAAATAAAATTTCTCTCTTAACCTTAAAAGTACCTATTAATATTTAGATGATGAGCGAGCAAATCAATTAAATCAAAGAAAATATACAAAGTTTTTTTTTACTTTTATTTTTATTTCATTAGATATTATACGCATTTACATTATTGAACTTCCCAATATCCCAATACCTGGGTGTAAATTCAAAAAACTTCTTCTATGGCCGTGTACGGCGATGGGTGGAGCTCCGCATGCTCCACTATCAAATCTTAGCAAATCATCAAAGTTATCGTTCGATCTCGATCTATCTCGATCAGTTCGATAAGTGAAATCGCCCTAGTCCTGTCGTCGTTTAGTTTTTACATGATTGGGCCGTAATAGGTACCACATATATACGCTTGGAAGGTAATTTTTTTTTTCCAACCGATCGATACTTCATGGAACGAACGATACTTTTTTTTATCGAACTTTTTTGATAAATTACCACACGAATGTACCAATAATTTATAATATAGCGATAGTAAGAATATAGCGATAAATCTACTAGTATTTACTGAACTCATTGTATTATATGTACACAAATAGCCACTTATATGTACATATGATCAAACTAAAGTTAAAATACATACAATAATTAAAGTTGTATTTTTGTTTTTTTAATAATAATATTTTAATTTTTTAAACAAATATATTCTATGTATTGTTATCTCTATTCGTATAGATAATGAAGCAATTATGGTTAAAGTAAGCAAGGTGTAATTTTAAATTATATAATTCGTTGTGTTTTAGTCATAATTTGAACAATAAAAGAATTCTCAACAGTAAATATTCAAATAGGGACGTTGAATTGGCTTTTTACCTTAAAAATTCAGTTACTGAACTATTCTCTAGCAGTGGCACACGTAAATTGCCCACTTATAATGCGAAATTCAAGCTCCGTGAAACCCTAAAGCACGGAATGGAACTGCATTCGGCGAGTACTACTTTCATTGGTAGCTACTGTGTAGGGGTAGCTAGTCAAATGCAAACCATAAAGCTATCCGAAAATCGGATATGCTCTCTAGAGTGATATTTAAAATTTAAATGCAAGCGATGGGAAGGCTAGTAAATTGGAAACATAAAGACCACAATTTGCCGTCGGCTACCCAGATAATGAAATTTAATGAACTGTATAAAAGTTTTTGTAATGTGATAGACAGATTCATATTTTTAACATAAAATAATAATATCTACAAAGCTAAACAATGTAAATTGCTAAGAAATGATTTTTATTCAACCTAAAAGCAGTAAAGCATATTTATTCAACATAAAAAATTGACATCTATTGAAGCCATTTTTCTACGTTTCAGTGTAATTTCACATATTGCAAGGTTTACCTTATTGTGGTTATTATTTATTTTATGCTCTAAATTGTGTTATAGGTGGAGGGATCTCAAGGGCAATTACACGACGTCGATACATCACACATATACAAGGGGGAGCTCGTTGGTGAGTATTTTTTTTGTTTACATTAAATAACACTTAACTGTTTTAAATGAATGAAATATATAGGTAAGTTATTGTCTGTTAATATTTTGTGCCAGTTATAAACGCTTGGACACTAAAGCTTAATGAAAAAAATTACAATATTATATAGGTAGTGTAATAATATCCAAATAGAAAACTACTTAGTAGTACTGCCTCAGCTGATTGTAGATCAGAGGTCAGAAAGCAGAGTTTGCAGGTGACATGCCTAACACCGCTTTTATTGTACAGTGAGACTGTAAACGACGTTATCTGCGCTTTAGAGAGATCAGTATTGTCTACCCTTGTCCGACCGAAATTATGTCCTCCCGCCCAACGCGATTGTGTTTCTGCCTGTCTAATCAAAAAGGAGACGAGAACTCATATCGTAGCATCAACCCCTGCGTTATAAGATAAACTCATCCCCTATTAATAATTCAGGAGAGCTATAAAACATATTTCTTTCTGCAATTACGGCGTCAAAGTCTCGGCTAATTGGAAGCTTTCGGCGTCCACTTGACTTTTAATGTTGAGGCGTACGCCGAATACTGACTGACGCTCGCCTACGCTGCGAATGTTATCTGTTTAAATTATTATTTGGCTGGAAATTCCATAGGCATTCCGTATCTAAATATTTTTGCAAGTTATTCACAACAGGATCCTTTTTCAAAGGAAAACAATGAAATCTTGCGTTGAATCCCTTTCTGCCGGTCGGTATCATACTCTGTTGCATAGCTAAGTGGTGTAATATTATTCGAGGCTCAAGCGCTTTGAAGTGGTTTAGCAATGAGTAAATATATACAAGTCCTCGTGTAATAATTGTGAAAGTTTGGTACAGTGTAAATGGGTAAAGTTGCGAGGGCGGAGCGGCATCGATCGCAGTTCGTCGCCCTACTTACCGCTGTTCCGATGCACTTAGCCACCAAGTTGCAAACCGAGTTATAGGTATACTGAAAACCCTAAGCTGCATATTTTTAAGAAATTTCCATTCATGCGGGGGCTTACTGTGTCACCGATAAGGCGAGTGAAATGTTAATAAGTACTTCATACTGAAGCGATCTTTCACATGAAAATACATATATGTAGGTACTAATATTGCCCTTTTTATTATTATAATAAATAACAAATTGTAAGAACAGAAAATCATTAATAAAATTAATTCGTATTACAGGTCGGTAGTCAAAACATTAACGAGAGTGATAAAAATAAACAGGTAGCAACAACTTCCGTAACTTATGAAAATGAGCGAGTATTTTCCAACGGGCTCTTTTAAATTTTTACTGAAGACATTTTCGGAGCCCCGCGGTTTATACAAAACATCACATCTCTCATATTTACGCTCCTTAACTTGTGTAATTTCATAATGTCGCGGTCTGGCTGGGTTTTTCCGAATAAAATTTATTATTTCAATTTCCAACTCTATGTTGGAGGACTGTAGAACACAGTTTTAAATAGTTTAATCTATATGCCGTTACTTACACAGATAAAATTTGAGAGATAAAAGTAGGTACTATACGTAGGTAGCTACTAGATAGACTTATTTGTCATGTAGGTATACTATGCGGCATAAAATATAAATTTAAAACCAGTTAGCTAAATACGAATTATGTGCCTACTACTACTAATAAGGGAATTTTACGTTAGGTATAATTAGAGAAAGAAAAACACGATTTTTAACTTGTAATAGAACTCATGTAACTATAAAGTAGTATCTGTATTTTGCATATTTTATACATTATATATTATTTTATATTTATATGTATAGTATCTATCTTGATAGCAAATAAACGGGTATCCCCTTTGAATAAATTGTTATCTCCCCACTGTCACCTGTCCCCAAATGAAATGAGTCACCGTCACTATTCTGATATAATCAATTTGGGTCCTAATACAATTTCAGCAAGAAAAGTTGCCTACGGAACGTCCAAACAATTTTCTATATAAATGTACCTGCCTACCTAATTATTTGTTGAGATTGTATTTTCACTTTAGTTATTAAACTAGCATTGCCCGCGGCTCCGCCCGCGTTCAGATGACCATAAACCAAATTCTTAAGTTTTATATATTAGTGTACTCTTACATTGCAGTTTTTGTATTTTTTCTCAGAAATGAGATATTTTCCCGCAGTAAAAAGTATCCTATATGTTGACCCGGATAACCAGCTACCATCATACCAAATTTCATCAAAATCCCTCCAGTGGTTTTTCCGTGATGCGGTAACAGACAGACAGACAAAAATTCTAAAAACTATAGATTCGGCCTCTGTATCGATAATAATGTCTATTTCGATTAGATTTTCCAAAAAATATTTAATGTACAGATTCGAATTAGTTACAATTTTATTATTATTATGTATAGGTTATTATTATTATGTAATATATTACGAAATAAGATGCACATGTTTTTTGTCCTAGCATATGTTTTTTTATAAGTAATCTCATTTATTTTTATAATATTAGTATTAAATTTATTTTTCTCAAAATAATACTCATACATACATATGTCATCGATTTAGGCCAACGCACGCAATGACAGGCACTCGTGCAGCAACTTTGTGACCTAAATCTATAACTCATGGAGAGCTATATATATGTGGGTAGCAAAAAGCATCGTCTCCCTTTGTAAACCACACTCCCCTTACAAGAAATCTTGATATATTGTGTACGAAACCGCCGTGAGACTACTATACATTTAACATTTAGTATAAAATATTCAAATTTAACGTGTTTATAGAAATATATTTACTAGGTATATCTGACGAGAAGGGTTGGCTGCACACTGCTTTGTAGGCAATTTATGTCGAACCCAAAATTCTTCCTTAGTTGCAAGACCGAAACTGTATTTAACTATACCACAACAAGACCAGACGAGGGTTTTACTTTAAACTCTAAAGTAATAGTTTGTACAAATTACTATGGTCGATTACTCAGATAACTGGCGAAGCAACCCATATTAAACTTGCGGCAGAGGAAATTATATGCTTAAGTAGATATTTCTGTTTTATAATAAGGCTGTAAGTTGTGATCTACGTTACATAAAGTTAAGATAATTTGTATGATGAATACATAATTTGAATTTTGATATAATATTAAATAATACCAATTTACAAAATTTTCATTCTTTTTTTGTAATTGCTAAAATATGAATTCTCGTAAATCGAACATTAAACGAACACGGAGTAAAGAGCAATGAAATAATGGTGTTGGTAATAAATATTAATACCTACATGTTATGCAATACTTCAGTCATGTCATTCAGTCTTATCGCACTCCCACAAGGTTTCAATATTAATCGCAATTCTACGTAAAACATAAGAAATATCTTATTACCTATAAAGGTTACCCTCGACAGATTAATAATAATTTGATACCCAATAATTAATATTTTACTTTATAATATTTTGTCTTGCCTGTTCATAGTTAAAATAATGATGTGTGTATTGCTAATTCAAGTTTATTGAAATTTTTAAATATTAAACTTTCTTATAATATTTATGTAGATCAAATAGCAGTTTAATTTCATGTTTGAATTTTATTTTTTGAAAAAGGAAAATCTTGTCTATATATAAAAACTAGTAGGTAGTATTTATTGCTAACTACCTCGGTGTTTTTGTCACTATTAGATAGCTTACACGACTGCAACTTGAGAAATTCTCAATAGAAGACTTAATTTGGAAAATTGGTAATGTTAAACCCAAGTCCCACGGTAGACATCCGCCCCCGTCAGTCATCTCTGATTGTATCTATGTATGCATGCTGAAACACTTGTGCTCTAGTCCCAGAGAGATTAATAGCCATGAATGAAGTTTGGTCAGGAGTTCACAATTTAGTGTACTTCATAATATATTTTTTAAATTTATTCATTAAAAATAGTAAGTTGTAACTGAGTTCTATGTCAAAGGCTTTACCATTCATGTGTACGCATGACATGCTACAAAGGAAGAATATCCTCCTATACTGAAGCCGGAGGAGCATGTAGGAGTGTTACATTTAAATAGAGTTCGTCAACCATATGATAGAGCTTAAAAGAGTGCTGATATACATATTATATCATTCATTCCAATAAAAATTCAACACCGTCCACTTTTAGTAAACATGAACGATTTGTGCGTGTATAGTGAATAGATCCCGAGACTCACTTTAAAGTTTTTAAGCCAAATAAATAAAATACCAAATGGTATTTCGAAAATAAATAAATCAAAAATATTCAGTGGCTATCAGATGCATTTATATAAAAATATAAATATGAGGAATTCGCAAATACATATTTTTTAAACTGGATAGGTCGAATGAACTAAAGCGCAGCTGCATAACGAGCTACTTAAATTTGCGTTCAGACCGCACTTGACCGCTTTTTATTCGTTGTTTAACTGGAGACAATAGGTAGAACGCTGCTTGATGAATAGCGGTCATTGTCATTAGTCACTTTGTTACAAAGATTAATTTGTAAATTCTTCTCAGTTATGAAGAGAGTTATATTACGATTATATTAGAAATGCAATAAAACAATACCGTTAAATAAAAAATTGGGCTCTCTAGCCATCTCCAAAACTGCTAAGCTTAGTATTTAAATAAAATTGCAATATTGAGCTTCAATAATCTATACAAATGAATAAAATAGAAGTGTCTGTTTGTAATGTCAAAATAACAGCGTTTTACTAAATGCATATGAAATTATAGACAGTACTTGTAAGAAAACATTGTCTGTCTGTTTGTTCCGGATAATCTCTGAAAAGGGTGGACTGATTTTGACGTGACTTTCACCGGAAGATAGCTGATGTTATAGGGAGTAACATAGGCTACTTTTATTTTAGAAAAAGAATTAGGGTTCCGCTCGAAAAAATTAAAACGTACCTAGGGACGAACCCGAGCGAAACGAGAGTGAGTCGCTAGTAATTACTAAAAACAATGGAAACCTAAACGAAAGTTTTTACTTTCTTTAAATTGCCATAACATTAAATCCCTCTCATTCGTTTATGAGCAAATATCATTGAGTATTACATACTAACATTCTGTCTCTACATGTATAAAGTGTGATATACATATATGAGGAGTCGCTCTCTTTCTCGGTCCTGCAAAAGTGCGCGTGAAGATATAAACTAACGTAATTGAAAGTGTAACTTCATTTATTCACTAGTTATTAATTTGGCAGATGAACCACAGTCGACTGTTTTTGGTTCGGTGACGGACGGTGTGTTCGAGGGGAAGATCGTGCTGAACGACGGCTCGTACTATGTGGAGCACGCACGGCGCTACTTCCCACCCAACGGCACACGCACACGGGTCCACTCAGTTATATATCGCGAGGGCGATGTCGTCGATCCCTACGCGCATAGAAGACACGGTAAGTGCTAAATATTATAATTCTTACGTTAGTGTTACCATAGCAACGGTTTATGGCTATGTAAACATAGGTAATTTGTCTTTTTATTATAAGTAGATAAATGTGAAAATGGGTTTGTCTATTTCTCACCTTTGTGTAAAATAATGATGGGTGAAAATTACTTTATTATCTAAAAAGGTACACTGATTTCATAATCACTTTAAAAGGAATTCCATTTTTAGGGGTAAATTTTATTTTTGCAGCTTGGTCTTAACATTCTATATAAGTAATATAACCTATTCGATAAAAAATAATCATAAAGGTTCATTCACAATTGGCGAATATATCGAGTAACAAACAGTAAGTACACTCGAATCGAATACGTTCCTGCTTTTTTGTAGTCGATTATAAAGGCATACGATATATCTAGAGGTAAGGGAAATGGTAATCTGCATAATAAGACCTAACATGGCGTAAAAACTATAACACGGATTTTAATGCTATAACTTAGAACTCTCGCCATTCGCCAACAGAATTACGTATCCCAGGAAATCAAAGACTTCCAGCAGCATAAATGATAGAACATTAAATATGAACTCAGTACACGCTGAGAGTAGACGACACGGCAATATTTAGACAAGAGTCCTATTTGCAAAATGCTCATTTGCGGAGATAATTGCTTTATTTATAGATTACTAGCGACTCACCCTCACTTCGCTCGGGTTCGTTCCTAGCTTGCTTTCCAATACAATCTTTCATCCCCATTTTCATCCCCTTAAGGAATGATTTCCGGGATAAAAAGTATCCTATGTCTAAAACTACTTTTTACCAAATTTCATCTAAATCGGCTCAGTAGATCCAGAGATTATTACCTTTAACGTCACAAACTCACAAACTTTACCTCTTTATAATAATAGTATAGATGAAAACAATGTGCATTTTAATTACAGGTATTTTTTAATAATCTAAAAACTATTTCATGGCCTCATCGAGTATAACTTTAACGATCGGTGTAGATTGTCTTAATATTTATCGAATATTTTTTTTATATTAATTACATATACCTATTGAGTTTACTTTATATTTCGTATAAGAATGATTTTTTTGACAGTTTAACTTATAACTTTTAAAAAAATACAATTTTTGATATGTTTAAGTTAGATTATAATTAAAATACAGATATGTTTTAGTTAGCATGTAGAATACGCAATAAGATTAATGCTTTTTAAAGTGTAGTTTGTAGACGACTCCTAAAGACAGCCGTACAAGTTTTAGCCACAGTGTGTCGCACACCAAATGAATTGCAACGCAAGGTCGTTTAACAAAGTTTAATCTCATTTACTCTGTGCTCGTACTCGTGCTACGTGCGCTTGTCGTCTGATTGCCATACAGTTTGAATTAGAAAATTCGCGATAATTTAATGCGAGGCATTTGAACGCTTTATTGCTTGCGATTCATAAATTTATTCGACACGTCTTAGCTCTAATTTGTTGAATGTGCCTCAATCAAGCTGTTGCCAACACCTGTTTATAGATATTTATATCAGATAAAATAATTATCTAACAGTTATTTATAATCTAAAACTAATATAATTATTATAATATTTTTATTACGTACTTCGAGATCTGTTTTCGTATTAATAAGATTCAGCCTAATGATTTTTCGATTTTGTTCATATTGCTTTTTACCAGTATTTATATATCGTTTAAGTACAACGTTTATAGTTCATTTTTACTTAAAATTATCATTTCATGTAGGTAATCTATACTTAATATTATAAAGAGGTAAAGTTTGTGAGGTTGTAGGGGGTAATCTCTGGATCTACTAAATCGATTTAGATGAAATTTGGTAAGAAGTTAGTTTGAGACCCTGGGAAGGACATAGAATAATGTTTATCCCGGAAATCATTATTTAAGCGGGTGAGAATGGGGATGAAAGTTTGTATGGGGAAGCAAGCTAGGGACGAACCTGAGCATAGCGAGAATAAGTCGCTAGTAACTAATAAAGTAACTCTAAAGTTAGAATAATATTGACGGTATAAGAAATTAAGTTCTATTATTGTACAATAGATTTGTCACCCTTATCTTAAAGTTTTAGAGTAACTTTGTTCCAAGGTAGGCTACATTTTGCACGACTCGGCTCGGAGACAACAATTGATATTCACCATTTGCTCGCGTTCCACGGATTGAAACACTAAAATATATTTCGATTCGCTGTACGTTATTGTCATCAAACCAGTCCAATTCCGTGTTACATAATACATATTCATCGGTCCGTAGGCTGAAATGGTAATTCATGACAGCAACAATGCTGGGCGACGCGACGTTGAGTTTGCATTTTTGTCTACCTACTTAGATTAAAGAATCAATAGCGATAAATTCTCCTGTAGATTGCTAGACTATTATTTTTTTTACAATATATCTTTTGTCAGTCACAAAACTATCTGTACGTCCATATTTCAAGAGCAACAACTTATCTAGCAACATTAAATAAGAATATTTACTTTAATAGATGCTATTGAGTGAACAGGAAGGGTCGTGTTTAGTTGTATTTGTTTTCATTATGTCTTATTGGACATTTGTATTGGGGTGGTCCCTTTTTATTCGTTCGTTACTGCGTTTCTATTTGAATATGAAAGACTAGCTTCACTGAATAGTACATGCAGTGAAGCAATATATTTGTAAGTAGGTGAGACCGGGGTATAAACGTATAGCTAAAGATTAAAGGTTAACACATATTCTTTAATTTACTTAAAAACGCAAGGGTATTAAATTTACATTTATATATATTTATAATTAGTCGGTTTCATAAGAACCTAAATCAAATTACTAGATTACGAAAGTTACAAAATTAAGAACAAAATAACAAAAGTATTAAACCTCTAATTATTACGGTTTTCCGGACAAACCCTTATACTATATACAATACAAACCCGAAAATTTACTTCACAAGAAATTATCTAACTCTTCGGACACGGTCATGACCAGTACCGGACAAGTCTTTATGAGTCTAACCGTTACAAGCTTTACATACATTGCAATAAACCTCATCTGAAACGTCTGACTCCGTATTCTTAAAGGTAACACAAGCAAATGTTATTATTAATAGTTCTTTCTATCTATCTATTGGGTTTCTACAATCGTTGTTAACTCTTCGCACGTTTTTTTAATTCAATATGGATTTTGTCTAGTTGCAGTTTTTTTAAAGCGGCGCGGCTTCTTTATTTTTGTCCAAATATACATAAAGGTAGTTTATATTCATATTTTCAGTGGTGCAAGCCACCAAGCGACTTATGAGCGGAAAACTTAAATTATAAACCGAAATAAATATGCCGTCCTCTTTTAACCTCGGTATAAGATTTTGTACAGGTTTCTTCTTTAAGTCCATTCCTCTTGCCTCGGTGGTGTAGTGGCTAGCATGTATGGCTGCACACTTGGAGGTCCTGGGCTCGAGTTCCGGGTCGGGCCAAGTTTAGTTATTGAGTCTTTCTGTATAGTAAGTCTCAGTAACAGCCCGGAATTGGGAAGTTGGCGGTGTTTCACCCCCGTGCCTCGGAGAGCACGTAAAGCCGTCGGTCCCTGCGCCTTAACTCTCACTGGTCGCGTCGAGCAGTCGTCCCACCGGAGTATGAGAGTGACGGGAATAGAGAGTGCACTTGTGTCTGCGCGTACACTTGTGCACTATAATATCTCCTGCGCAGTTGGCTAATCTCAATGAGATTGGCCGCCGTGGCCGGAATCAGTCAGGAGAACATCATATATACATAGGACCTGATGTAATTGCACTTATTTAGAATTTACATACAAATTCCATTACTCAACATATTTGGAACATATCATAAATCATAACATTCAAAATTTCTATGATATCGGGTTTTTACCCGATATCCTTTTGGAGCGAAACGAAGGTTTACCTAAGACACTAGCCTTTGTATTGGGTTTGCTGTGGGTTTTACAACAGGTCTTTTATGTGTTTCTTTGGGAGTTGGGTCCTCTGTCTTGATATTATTGCGCTTTTATTTTCTGTAATAGATCTATCAGATTCGAGTGCACCATTAACTTCATAGCTTTCATAAGCTTCTTAAAAGTAAACTAGCTAACAAATGTATTTGACATAACCGTATAATCTACCTACATTTATACTTAAAAAGTACTTATTATAATTGTATTTCAGAGAAACCATAAGAACATCGTAACTTACCTGAATATCTTCTTTCTCGAGTACATTCTGTATATGTATTTCAGGATAACAAGTCTCAAGTACCAACTAATGCTTTGAAAAATGGTGCACACATAAGATTTTCAGTGGTAAAAGGAACTAAAGTGACATTGTTAAATTGTTGGATAAGAAAGACTCTTGGAATATGCTTGAGAAAGATATAGTTATAATAAAATACAATACTTTGAATATAATTTATTTTATTTAGGTAAATTGTACGGGCGTTAGCTGAATTTAAAACCGAAAAGCTTTCGTTTAGTTTTATTAGCATACTAGCATTGCCCGCGGCTCCGCCCGCGTTCAGATGACCGAAAACCAAATTCTTAGGTTTTACATATTAGTATACTCTTACATTGCAGTTTTTGTATTTTTTGAAAGAGACATTTTTCCGCGGTAAAAAGTATCCTATATGTTAACCCGGATAACCGGCTATCACCATATAAAATTTCATCAAAATCCCTTTAGTGGTTTTTCTGTGATGCGGTAACAGACAGACAGACAGACAGACAAAAATTCTAAAAACTATAAATCCGGCATCTGTATCGATAATAATGTCTATTTCAATTAGATTTTCCAAAAAATATTTAATGTACAGATTCGGCTTTGTTACAATTTTATTATATGCATAGATTAAGCATACAATTTAGGTAAAGAGGGGAAGTGTTTTTGTGTTTAGTTTTGTTAGTTCATTACATATTTACATTCGTAGGAAGAGACATTTCCAATCAAGCACATCAAATCTTAACGTTATCTTCGGTGTTTTAGGAAAAAGAATAATAAATAATAATTTAATCAAATTAAAT